GTGATGGATGGGTTGGCACATAAGGCCTCCAGTTGAGGACAAAAATATCACCTGGGGGGCAAGGACCTGTTTGAGCAACAACCTGAGGCCCATCCAACCTCATCACTCAGAGCCCTTCCCCAAGAGAAGGTATGGAGGTGGCCTGGGTTTGGCCCAGTTTTTAAACAAAATCTAGAGCATATCTGTTTTCCCCGGGGTCAAAACCTCATTACTGAGCTACACCACCACACTGGAAAAGAAATTTTCTGCCTTTTTATTGACAATCCCACTTTCACAGCCTGCAACCTTCAGCACATGGACCACCTTGACACCATGGATCCATTCAGGGCTGTCAGGCATTCAGAAGCTGTTAGTATGTAGATTTCGGTGATAATTTGGTGAATGGAGTTGTCAAACAAATTGCCTTTATTACGGACTGATTAAATGCAATCAGAGTAAAGTGCCTTTCCCCTCCCAACCCCAGTCCTCATCACCTCAAACAAACACATTGAGCCAATTAGCAGGGAGGTGGCAAAAGCAGCTTTCACTTGAAACCTGATATTCTTGGGGAAAAGAAAGAAAAAAAAAACCACACCACCAAAAAAAAAAAAAAAAACCAAAAAAAAAAACCACCAACTCTTTGCACTGTCAAAGCCAAGAAGAGCCTCCAGGGAGAGATCCTGAAAGCTACCCAGGGCTCACCTGCAGGGTGTGGATGGGAGTTATCAGTATTCATCTGGCTGGATGCCAGATCAGCTCCCTTAAGCACCATGCTGCTCACATCTAGCTTGTGCCAAATATAATGCAAAGAACGTAAATATTGAAGCCGGCCTAAGGGGAGCAGCACTACCAGGGCTGCTTTTCCTTCAGCTGAGTTCTCCTGTTTCAAAACAGGCATGAGCTCCCAGCCAAGCTATTTCCATGCCTAGAAACTGAAGTTTTTGGCTTAGGTCCTTGTAGTGGATTCTCTGGTGTCTGCAAATGCCTGAGTTCACGGCATTTTTTGCAGTAGTGAATGGACCTGTCTCCATTAACAAGAAACTCCTGCTGCCACATAAATCTGATGCCGCTGCTCTTCTGTGTCTGAAGTTATGGGGCATTTGATGAAGGGGAAATTTATTGAGGAGAATTGGAGCACAGCATCATAATCACATAATCCTAATTCCTTGCAGGTATGCAGCTGGAAGTTAAATGGTCACCTTGGCTGACAGCAGGCAGAGCAGAATTCAACATGTGTTGGCATGACTGATCTTCAGAGACAGGAACGCAGTGGCTGGAGCAGAGACAGCACACAGGATATGAGCAATAGCTGTTGACTAAGCTGTCAGCTAAGCTTTCAACGCCTGCATCTAAAGTTAGCACCAAAGCCTAATTTTGGCCCCATTAGTCCCTCTAAGTAGCAAGGCCTGTGCACTGCACATGGATCACTGCTTCTCAGAGCCTATGCAGAGGAGCTATGGCATAGCTTCCTATGGCAAGGTAAGGACTTTCTTTTAGCCCCTTTTTATTTGTGGTGGGAGTCCAACACAAAGCAAAGGCAAAGTTTTATTGACCAGCAGGGATTGTGCAGAGTTCGTTGCTGGGACTGAGATTAGGACTAGAGGCTTAAAGTAAGGAGATGCAAAACATCAGACTCTTACACCATACCTCATCATATTCCTCAAGTGTCACCTTGAACATAAGGGGTAAGGGACACATCAAGACACTGGGTTCTAAGCCATCAAACAGTCCTGAGCACAAGAACTGATAACAGAATGAGATTAGACCAAGAGCCCATTCTACAAGCAGCCACAGAGAAAAAGTCCAGACCTTCTTAAAAAGTGGCTGCAAAGTGCCTGATAACTTCACTCTCTCCCTCAGGACCTGCTTCCTACCCCCACACTCCGGCTGCAAACATCAATGTCTAAAGAACTATTAAAGAAAACAACTTCAAAACTCTTCACATAGTTCAAATACTTCACTTAAAAGGGATTTGAATTCTTACATCTCAGATTGCACCAGTCCCCAGCAGGACACGCACTCATCATGTTCACGTTGTGGCAGTTTGAGCTGTTCCAACAGGAGGGATGGAGCCACAGTGAGAGACCACGTGCTCAGGCAATGGAGATCCCCACCAGCCCTGCCTGTGCTTTCCTGTGACAGACTCAGTTCATCACATCACAAGCTCATCACAAGGCACCTCTCAGGGTACCTTGCCACGATCTACACAAAAATGAAAACCTCCTGCAGCCAAGGGACACACACCTTGACGACCCAACCAGCGGGAGAGCACTGGGAGCAGTGGGATGTGTGTGGGTGTGCAGCTCTTGGGAAGCCTTTTAGCCAGTCCTACTGCAGAGCTGCAGTGTGAGAGGCAGGTCAGTGCTGCTTGTGATCTGCTTAGAGCTCAAGACTGACCATCCCTGAGCTTTCCAAGGCTGGATCCATGCACTTTGTCTGGCCCATCACAACAAGGTCATGACCTATTAAAACCAGCAGCACCTACCTGATAGTGCTGAGTCAAACCAAGCTGAGAAGTCAGAAAAGCTTTGTTGCTAAACAAAGTCTACAGGACTGAGTTTAAAAAAAGGCCATTCTTCTCCAAAGAGTGTCAGCTGCTCTCTCTGGACAGTACTGCTATTTATTTGCAAGCTGGAAGAGCCTTTACATCCCAATAAGCTGTGTCATCTCCCTGCAGCACAAAACTGCTGCAGAAGCTTCTGTGGCATCACAGCAAGCCTTGCATTCCTCAGCAGCAATAACCAATACAAATCCACTCATCTCCTTGAGATGCAGACAATTTATGTTTTGGATGCAGCACCTCTAGATGTGATGGCATATGGTAAATGTATAAAGCTTCCCCAAAGACATTCACCTGCTCAATTCCAGCCATGACAGAGAAGAACACAGAATAACCTAAAGTATGGAAAAGGTATATAAGAGGTTAGAAACAATCACAATCCACGCCCCTTCTATTCCTCATGTTAGCTGACAATTCATATGTAGGGGTAACAGCGACAAACAAGGTGCTCCATCAGGTAGGGAGATTTATCTGGGCCACTGCTCCTTCAGAGGGACACATGGTCCATGCCCTCATGCACTGGAGGGAGATAAATGGAGTGTTTGGAAAATGTATTAGGGAAGCATAAGGTGTGATTTTGGAAATGCTGTACCTTTTCCTGCCCCCATTCATCTTGTGGCCACCCAGCTCCTGAACTTACAAAACTGTATTCGAGTTGCTACACAGCAGGCACAGCCCTTTCCTGCAGCAAGCCGTGTTTCCTGTCCTGCAAAGTACAGTCAGTCCAACAAGACTGGGAACATTTGCCAAGCCTTCTATCAGTAAACATAGCTTGGACCTGGCAGAAGGTTTCAGTAGTTGTAGAGACTCATGGGAGGTTGTGCTGTTGGGATTACAGACCCTGCTTCAGAGTACAGCCACACCACACACGTACACGGGGATTTAAGCCACCCCTCTTGTCCCAGAGTGTGACAGTACAGCTGGATGTTGCAAAAAACATTATTTTGGTCTCTGCAACCTTCTTATCCATTTTTTTAAAGGACAGTGTCTTCTCCTGTGGACAGCACCACCAAATCCTATTGAATTTCCTTCCATTGCTCTGGCTATGTTGTACAAACAGTGTGAAGTACCATTGCCCTGGGACACCTGTACATGTTTTAATGTTCAGTAATTTGGTCTGACTGGGGAAACTTTATCTGTATTTCAGAAGGAAGAGTCCATTCCCCATTACAGCTTTAGCTCCTGTCATTCCCACTCCATGAACCCCTTCTGCATCAACTTGCTTGCAAGGAGGAGCATAGAGAAAGCTCAGCACCAAGAAAAGGATGAAAACACACCAGAAACAGGGAAATGTCTCAGTCCTTTCCGTTCAGAGGCAGATCTGCCCTGAATGGGAGCCCCCAGGACTGATCTGCCCCCAAAGGAGACTGAATCACAGGCAAGCCAGCCCCCTTCAATTCACATTAAGACTTCAAACTACTGTATATATTGTCCCCTCACTCCAGCCCAAGCTTCTTCTTTCTAACACAAATTTCTCAGAGCACACAGACACATGTGCTCCCAGGCAGTGAGCAGCAGTGCCGTGATATGCTGAAACCCAAGTCCAGTGAGATTCAGCCCTTACAAATGACACTTTTTCATCAGCAAATTATAACTGGCAGCTCTTATCTGCTTCAAGAGTTTTGCAACACTCCCCTAAAGAATATGCCAGACTAGTTCTTCACACTAAGACCCAAAATTAGAACCAATATCCTAAAAGCAAAGTGACCCTCACTAGGAATTCCCAAGCAAACTAATCAACATTACAGTTTTAAAACGAGCTCTGTTATATTTTCTCAGATCCACATGCACATTCACAAAGAACAGAAGCAGAAATGTAATTTTAAAGCGACTGATGCAGCTGTAGAGTTATAAAAGTTGCACGGGACTCCAGAATTACAAGGTGCTGGGTATTTACCTGCTGTGCACAAATCAAAATAAAATTCTAGGCCCAGAAATGATGAAGAAAGGAGATACTTTTTCTCCTGTCTTAAGAAAACACAGAGTGTATAATTCACTCCTTTATCTCAGCTCAGGGGGCTTTTGCAACAATCAGGAGCTGCATATTAAGAGAAGGGAATCTGGCCCATTACAAAATAATTGGGACTTGCTGTGCTAGTTTTAATTTACATCCTAGACCTTCATAGTCTCCTAATCCAGCTCTTTTCACTCCACTGAGAAAAACAGCACAAAATCTGCTACAAACTTACACAAGTTAAGAGTATTCCTTTCCTTCTTCCCAAAGTTACTCAGACTAACTCTGCTGAAACAGTTTTGCTAATTATTGAGAAATGCTTTTAAGAAACTCAAAATTCTCTTACGGAAGACACTTTTCATCCACTTATTTTTAAAAGGTTAAAATTACTCCCCACATAATTATCCCAGATCTGCTCACATCCCCTTTCCCTGAGCTGCTCCTGAGCGCTGGAACAAGAGCTCCCATCCGCGAGCAGCACATGAAAGGATCGGTGCTTCTCCCTACCTGAGAAGTCTGCAGAAGTCTTAGCAAAGTTGCTGAAAGCTGTCAAGCACACGAGTCCCAGGAGGAAGGTGGAAGTGGGAAACACGTCTGGGCAGCACATCCTTAAGTATCCTCAAGGCTTGTCTTCTTCCAGAGAAAAGGAAAGCGGTTTCTGCCCCAAGCCGGCACTCGTCATTGCCCGGAGAGCAGTGTTAGTCCCATTACTTGGAAGGCTCTCAGCCAGCGGCGGGGAAGGAAAAGCGCTCGGCACACACACACACTCACACACACACATCCCTGGGAGTGAATGAATCCCGGCTGACGAATGAGACAGACCTACCTGAGCCTTGGCGGAGTTCCCAGGGTCCTAAAAGCCACCTCTTCGCCCAAATTTGCTGCAGACCGTTCCTGTGCAGCTGTCCGGCGGCGGCACTGGGAGCTGGTGGGGGGATAGTCGGAGAGGGGGCTGCCTGGGTGGGGGGGCTGGTTTGGAGAAACCCGGTTGTGTTATTAGATTAGATATCCGGGGATCTTCTCTGTGTTGCAGACAGACAGAAGGACGGGCAGAGTTTTCAAAGCAGGGAGCCCAAAACAAAGCACCTGAATTCACATGGGTTTTTGGCATGACGGGAATTTGGAGCTGCTGCTGAAACCAGTGTGAGCAGTGGTGCCCTGCCAGACTGGCGACAGGACAATTGTTGTGTGCCCCTTGTTGAGAGTGATCCTATAATGGAAGAGACTTTGCACAGGCCCAGGGATCAAATCCTCCTGGATCTAGTTGCAGGACCAGGTATCAGCCACATATCCAAAAATCCTCCTTTCTTTTGACAGCAGACAGCCACGCCAGGCGCCTTTTATCCCACTGAACCCCTTTTGCGCTCCATCAAAATCAACACAGGGTTTTCACGTAGATCCAAACCTGTGGTTTTCCTAGAATCATAGAATGGTTTGGGTTGGAAGGGACCTAAAGATCATCTTGTTCCAAGCCCTCTGCCATAGGCAGGGACAACTCCCCTTAGACCAGGTTTCTTCAAGGCCCATCCAGCCTGGTCTTGAGACCCAGAAGATCTGTCTCTTTCCATGGCAATTATTTTAACTCCCAACTAGCACAGCCTCAGATGCTCATTCAAGTACTGCTCAACCTGCAGCATTAAAGGAAGTCTCCAGCTCACCTGGAAGCACATCCAGTATTTGATCCTGCCTGATTTCCATCCATCTCTTGGCAGCATCAAGCCAGTCATAATAACTTGGAAGAGCTGAGCTGAGCTCTGGGGACACAGATAGATGTGTGGACTCTGTGGGCACAGGAAGAAGATCCTTGGCTTTGGTTTCCAGCATAAGCTGCAGCTCAGGCATAGATTTGTATATAAATAAGGGGCATATCTAACATATCCAGGCTAGAGCATCAGTGCAGAGAGCAATGGGCAGTTTAAACAGGCAAAGCCAACAGCAGACATTTAGCAGCCTGTGTACACATATACCCAGACCTACAGAGCACCACTGTGTGGGGCTGCCAGGGAAGGGCAGATGGAGCCAGGCACACACACCGCTGCTGAACAAAGCTGCAGCTTCTATCCAGCAAAAATAACCTCAGTGGAAACATCAGAGGAAAACCACAACTGGTTTTTACTGCTCTGTCCTGTTCATCCACATGGAATTAAGTGAAACTTTCCAAAAACATTGACCCTAGAGCAGAAAACAAGTGTAAGAAACTTCAGTCCAAAAGGCTCTGGGTTTTTTTCAGAGCTGAGTGTACTTGTAAATAGTTTCTTATGCTGAAGTTTCTAACAATGTTTCAGCTGATCTCAGATGAAAATCAGAGTGGCTGCCTGATTATATGTGAAAGACATTTTCAAGAGTGCTGCCATGAATACCAGAGTAAGTTTTTCCACCAGAAATCTGCCCTGGGATGGTCTGTGTGCTAGAAGCCAACTCCAAGGGGAGCTATAAGTCCTGTGGCCTTATTTGCTTTCTACCCATACAGCCACTTGCTCAAATTCCAATCAGCCACACTGAGGACGAGGATAGTTTTGTAAATCTGGAGTTTGAGCTCAAATCCTGCCTGTGACCACAGGAACAGGAGGCAGGTCTGGTCTGAATTGCCCCTAAGCAACCCTCTTTCCATCAACAGCTATTCACACACTGAGAGTCTACAGTGAAGGTGTAGATGAGTCTCCTCGAGGACAGTGGTGGCTCTGGGCTGACCTGACAGCACAGACATACCAATCCAGCAGGCTCTGTACAATCCAGCCCCAGTCCCTTCTTTCTGCAGACAGTTCTGCCTACCTTTTGCAGAGGGCTGCTTAAGCAAGAAAAAAATCTCAGGAACTTCTACAGGTTTCCTTCTTTATTTTACCTGATACTTGAATCCCACATGCTGGACCTCCCTGACCCATATTTTTCAGGGGTGATCAATTGTTTTAAAGAAAAAATACCAAGGTATTTGATTCTAAGCATCTATGTATAATTCTTGTCTCACCTACTTCTGCTGCCCTTGCCCAGAGGAAGATTCACCACTGCTGCCTTATAGGCATGAGATAACCATACCCATTACCAGATTATCAGTCAAAGCTCCTTATCGGCAGAACAAAGAAACAACAGGACCCCTGGAAATTTATCAGCCTCTGGAGAAGAGAAGCACTATTTGCTGAAAAGAGCCCACCCTGTTAGCAGGTGTTGATTTTACTGATTAAAGGGTAATTAGGTTTGGCTGACTCAATATATGGGGAAGGAAAAAAAACTCTGGTGACAAAGGGTTTAGGGCTGAGCATGGGCAGTTTGCTAAAACAGCCCTTTAGGTTGTCACTAATAAAGTTAAACCAGAGGGGAGAAAGTTTACAGCAGTGTCCTGTCCTGTGAGGGCTTTGTTTTAGAGCAAGTTTGTTAAGATACTTTCTTCAAAAAGAAAGAAAAAAGCAACTCTTGCCAGAAAGAAAAAGAAAAAAATAGATAATATTGACCTTTAAGGAACAGACAATTCAGTTAAAGCCCATCTCCATAATGGTCTTATTCCCTAGGGCATGTGGGAACATCAGCTGCGTGTTTCAAAGGGAAAGAGGCCACCTGTCCCCTCTGCAGCACAGACAAAGGATGGTCACTCTGTCAGGGACAGTCTCATGGGGTAAACGACTCAAGGGGACACCAGTATGGAACTTTAGGAGTAGCAGCCCTTGAAATCCACCCATGCTCTCAAATATGTCTCTGGGGATGGGTAATAATGCATATAAAGGATCTCTTGGATCCCTTGTTCTCGAGGCCACCCAGAAGTGGGAATAGGCCAGTACTGATGCAGTTCAGCCTCACATCTTAGCTTGGAGGAATGATTACTTAGTCCCTTTCCCTCCACAGACTGACTGTGGAGGAGCCTCTGTAACTAAGTCTAGAATGCTTAACAACTGTAACTCGGTCCTCTTTTTGACTATGATACATAAATGCATTTCTCTTTCTCCTCCCATACTCCTCTCTTGTAGATCCTCTCCTTCTCCTGCTACAGACAAAATTGTAATATCTGAAACATGCAAGCAAATTCCCAAAGCATTTTAAAAGCGGTTAAGTTCAGCTACAACTGGGGAAACCGAGGCACTGAGAAGTGAGGCAATTAGTCATTCGACTTTGTCACCCCAACCACAGAGTTTATAAATGGCAATCAGGAATGGACCCAGTTTGGATGATTCCCGGTTTAATCCCATATGTGCTGATCTTGTTTCCTTCTAGGGCTGATTTTTGGTAATACTTTCCCATTTTTCACTGACCCTGCACCATTAATCTCTTCCTTGTGGACTAAACCACCCACAGCCTGAAGAAAGGTTGGTCAGTAGCAAAGCTGGACCAGGAATAGCTTTCAGGTAGAGAATCATACGTAGGATTGAAGCTCTCTTTGTTTACACAGTCACAAGCAGGTTTATTAGTACAAATTTGCTAGGACTAGACTCACTTTCTAACCCTAGTAACATTATTCATTTCTTACTGCATTTTCCACAAGCTCTCAAAAAGAAGCACTCTCCAAAAGACCACTGCTGCATTCTGCCACTTCACACATGGGCAAAGCACAGTCATGTTTGAGGTCACTACTTTTTCAATGTCAGCCAGGGAAAACTGTCAGAAATAAGAAAATATTAAACACTTTTTATCTTTAAGTCCAGCTAGAGCTCTTTCCACTTGGCCACATTGCCTCCTTGTAAAATAATATAAATTAATGACAAACTATATGTGCATTTATGTCTACAGAAATATATCTAAACTGGGTGGTCAGAGCTTCAATGTAAAACAGCAAAGCTTCCCTGCAGAGGACAGCTTTTTGTTCTCCTTTTTTTAAATCTTTCCCCTAGGAGTGTCTTATGGAAACAGATGGGGTTACTCATGGAAGTAAGAGTTGTTTGCTTTCAATTTGAAGACAGAGGACTTCACATAATGCAGTTTTGCAATACAACACCAAGTACTCACAAGTAAAATCCTCCTCTCTCTCCATATTCAATGGTAAACAACAGCTGTGCAGAATATTCAAACTGAAAGGCCTTTGAAGTTTTTACATTTTGTGTCACTCAATCACTTCAGTTTGCAAAACGAATGTAAAACCTGTGGGACTCTGCTCCACTCTGGGACAGGTTTGGAGCAAGAGTGTTGCTTTGAAAGAATTCCATGTAGAAAAAAAGTCCCGAGTGATGCACTTATCTCACTAAAACATTGGGAAAAATGGAACAGAGTGGTCCAAAATTCTCCAATGCATGGAAATGTCAAAAATAAAATATTTGGAGACTACAAAGTAATTCACAACAAAGCTGAAAACTTTCTGCTCATATCTGCACCAATAACTGATGTTAAAATTTCTCTCAGCTGAAATTCTCTTTAGTATAATGGTTCCGTATTCTGTGTTAGAGAATACTGCAGAGTCTGATGATTTCTCTAGGCCCAACATATCTGATTGGGTTTAGTTGGTGACTTGTGTACAAGAGTCCTGCATGAAGGACAACAAAAAAGTACTTCAGCACTCCCCCAGATCCTTCTGCACCTCATGGGCACACATCCTACACCCAATCACAGCCCATCCTTACTGCAGTTACTGTTACAACTTGCACTAGAAAAGCCATTTTTGTTGCCAGAGACTTTTCCCACAAAACTGAT